TACAGGCGTGAGCCACCGCGCCCGGCCTGAAAGTATTTTTTAACCACAATACTCTCGCCTTTAAAATCAGAGATTGAAATGTAAAAATGAAAACAATAAAAGTGCCAGAAGAAAACATGGGAGAATAATTTATATAAATTTATACTGAATAGATAACAGCCAGAAATCATATATAAAAAGAACTCCTTTAAAAATGTTAAAACTTTGGCTTGGCACAGTGGCTCACACCAGTAATCCTAGCTCTCTGGGAGGCCGAGGCGGGTGGATTGTTTGAGCTCAAGAGTTCGAAACCAGCCTGAGCAAGAGTAAGACCCTGTCTCTACTAAAAAGGAAAAGAAAAAGAAAAAAAAAAAATACATAAGAAAACAAAAACCAGCTGGGCACTGTGTCGTGCCTGTAGTCCTAGCTACCTGGGAGGCTGAGGCAGAAGGATCACTTACAGCCCAGGAGTTGGAGTTTGCAGTGAGCTACAATGACATCACTGCACTCTACCAAGGGCAATGGAGTGAGGCTCTGTCTCAAAAAAAAAAAAAGAAAAAAGAAAAGAAAAAGAAACAGTTAAAACTTTGGTTTGACAAAAACGAAATAAACAAAATAGCGTTAGAAGATATAAACAGAAAACAGGCAAAAAGCAATTGCAGCCTGTGACAGAAAGGATTAATAGCTTTACAAGTGCCTCATGTATCCTGGATATGAGATGCAGGCATTGCAAATATCTTCTCCAAGTCTGCCGCTTGCCTTTTTAGTCTAAAAGATGCTTTCTTTCATAAAAAGTTCTTAATTTTAATGAAGTCCAATTTATTAATCTTTTCTTTTATGGTTAGTGATTCCTGTGTTCAATTTAAGAAATTCTCATCTATCCCAAGGTCAAGAATATACATTAGTATCTTTAAATAAGAAACACTTTCATATGCAAATACAAAAACCTACTGGAAAAATTGGGCAAAGAACACAAATAGCATGTTCACAAAGAGACATGCCAATGGCTAGTAAGCATATGTTTGTAAGCACATGTAAAGTAAAATAAGTAAGATATTCTATTTTGTCCATAAATTGTCAGGCACTACACTAAAGAAAGGGAGAAAATAAAGACAGGGGATATCAGAATATGGAAGGTCTAAACCAACAGTCCCCAACCTTTTTGACACCAGGGACCAATTTCACGGAAGACAATTTTTCCATGGACAGCGAGGTCTGGGGAGTGGGGTCAGATCAGGCAGTGATAGGAGTGTTGGGAAGCAACTGTAAATACAGATGAAGCTTTGCTCGCTAGCCCTCCACTCACGAAGAGGCGGGGCTCTGTGGCCTGGTTCCTAAAAGGCCATGGACTGGTACCGGTCTGTGGGGTTGGGGACCAAAGGTCTAAACCATGTCTATAGGCCGGGTGTGGTGGCTCACGCCTGTAATCCTGGCACTTTGGGAGGCCTAGGTGGGAGGATCACTTGAGGCCAGGACTTCAAGATCAGCCTGAGCAAGAGTGAGACATCGTCTCTACCAAAAATAGAAAAATTAGGTGGATATGGTGGTGCGCATCTATAGTCCCAGCTACTCGGGATGCTGAGGCAGGAGGATCACTTAAGTACAGGAGTTGGAGGTTGCAGTGAGCTATGATGACACCACTGCACTCTAGTCCAGACGACAGAGCAAGATACTGTCTTTAAAAAAAACAAACCAAAAAAACCTCCCATGTCTGTGATATTAGGAGAAGTAATGATCTGAGGCACAATTGGAAAAAACAGAATCAAAACATCTATTGAATGCTTTCCATATATCAAGTATTTTCACCACTTAATTTAATCTTCACATCAATCCTGTAAATATTACTCCAAATTTTAAAGATAAAAGAACAAAAAATCTAAAGTTTAAGTATCTTGACAGTGGCTATTCTTTCATTCAGCCAATATTTGCTGCACACCTACTATGTGCCAGCCAATATTCTTCTAAGTGATTGAGATACACCAATAAACAAAAGAGGCAAAAATTCTCACTCTCAGGGAGCTCAGATTATGGCAAATAAATACATAAATGGCATTTACAATGTAAAC